AGTTATGTTTCTGCCAGCGACAGAGGGTGCAAATGGAAACTATGATCATTTTACTAAATTTATTATAATTAAAATTACATGTTAATTCCTAAAATCTAACTAACCTAAGTGCGAATGTGTTCGATGTTGGAACAACACTGATTTCTTTTCTTAAAATTATTTCGAAAGAAGGTTTTCAATAAAACCTATTGAGGTTAAATTTAGTGGGGTGATTGCTGATACAGCGATTCGCAGCTGGGCACGAGGCGGTGACATGAGGTGACGACTCAGCAGTTTAGGTGTTGCAATACTTCGTTGCATCAAAGTAGGTCTAACGTCCTGATTCAGCAGATATGCTCCTCGTGGCACGGCGTTGATCACGGTGTAGGTACATGTGTCGGCACCGATACGTAACAAACGCACCCACGACACAGGAGAAAATCCTAGTGTGGGGCAACGTTTAAAAAAAGAAGTGTAAACACAATTTTTTTAAATTACTTCAAAAAAAAGGAGGTTATACTTATATATATACGTCATAATATTAACACTTCTTAGAACTAACCTCTGTGGGCGTGCCTGCTACATATTAATATAAATCGATTCACAAACACTTTCATTTATGAATCAATAAATAAATAAATGTTTACTCAATGTAAACATGGCACGCCCACATGAAATTATTATTGTTGATTGCCGCGTCAAATTAATTCATACATTATTCATAAGTTTGTAAGAATGTATGTATGGACATAGGTTGTTGGAATATTATTATATTCCAATTTATGAAAATGAATTTTTACTCATCGCCTTGTTCGCTGGTCTGGGTTATATTTCTGGGCCGTTTTTGAGGGGGAAAATTATCGAATGACTTCTTTCGTCCGGATGAGGCGAGGGGTAGTGTCAGACTCTTACTGACTAAAAACCACCCCGTTCCTACTCCTGCACTTCAAGCCCCGGCAACCCGTTAATTCCTTCGCGGCACCTAAGTCTTCTGCGGCTCCACATTATACATAGGTCTAGAAAAGTATTACCAATTCGAGTGTTATCAATTTTTAGAAAACTTGTCAGTTAATAAGTACGGAGTCTGAAGTTGAACCCATTCTACTAGCAATAGATTCACCCCGTACTAAATAGATTTTTATGCTAAACTTTATCGCTACCTGTTGAGGTCAGAAGTCGTCATTTTCTATTTACCATCAAAACACTAGCCTAACATACGACCCCGTAAACCGTATTTCTGTTTATCACCAGAACTGTTCAAATACTGACTGTTAACTACACGGTTGGTGTGGTGGCTGGGCAACTGGCTGCAATGCAACGTGTCGTGGGTTCGATTCCCGCACGGACAACTTTTTGTGTGATCCACAAATTGTTTCGGGTCTGGGTGTGATTTATCATGTGTATGTGAAATTGTATGTTTGTAAACGTATTCTCGACACAGGAGAAAATCCTAGTGTAGGGCAACGTGAACGAAATCCTTTATAAAACCAAATTAAGCTTAGTTTACAATTCTACACATAGTTCTCTATGTACCTATAGAGACAACTTGCAATTTCACCTTCGAACCGAAGGCTATGTTTATCCAGCAATATATTTGTCTACAAGTCGCATCGTTTATTTCCATAATGCATCGCCAAAGCTTTATCTTTGAGCTGCAATACTTGTAGAATATTGTATATGATGTCGAAGGTTTTCACCAAGGACTGCATTCTCTAGGAATTGCACAATTTCTATTTAGGGACGTCAAATATTAATCCAAGTTCTAAGTAATTTTGTTTGCATAAGTCTTTGTTGGAGAAGGTTAGTGTAGCCTTTGTTTAGATATTTATAGGTAAGCACATGTAATCTATGTATATCATTAACATTACATAGTATAAAACAGTCGCTATCCGCCGTCTGTCTATCCCTATGTAGGTAGGTACCCATGCTTAGATCTTTAAAACTGCGCAATGGATTTTGATTCGGGTTTTTTAATAGATAAAGTGATTCTTAAGGAAGGTTTTAATGTATAATACATATTTATTACATGATTTCGATAGACGTATCTAGATATTTGTGGTAGGTATATATTTTCAACTGTGTTCTTTACACAACAAGGGTCTACCAAAATTAATAATCGAGGTACCTACCTAGAAGTTCCTTTTAAATCTTTGCACCAAGTAATATACCTACTCTACAACATTGCGTCTTCCTGGTCGTGCTTAACAAACCGCCCGCCATTTTATTTGCGACGGGTGACGGGTCACAGAATACTAATCCTCAGCTTTACTGCAGACTACGCCGATGTCAAGCTGTTTAAATTAGGAACAGTTTTAAAATAAGAATAGAAGTGCATTTTGGGTTGCAAGAAATAAAAATACTGATATATCTACAATTCGCTTTTACGTCTGTGCGCGAATTGAACAATAGAAAACAAAACGCTTAAAATTATTTCGTTTATTAAAATATCTACGTTTTAATCAAAGTTCGTAATTAATAAACTCAAAAATCTAGGTGAAGGTATTTAGCCACTTCAAAAAGGGTTGTAATAAAAATTTATTTAAAACCCTTTGTATCAAGTTTCTAACAATTAAAATTAAAAACTTACAAACTATTCAATTAGTAACGGTTTACATAAAAAGCTCTCAAAGTTTCTAATTAAAATATTGAGTAAAATCGATTATAGAAAAGTTAAGTCAAGTAAAGTGTTCTTTCTTAGCAACAATAATAATTAGAATTTGAATATTTATTTTTAATTTTTTACTATTCGCTCATATCGCCATACACGCCCTGTAATCCTCGATGAGGTTGGTAGAGGTGTACGAATAATATTGTGTAATGTGTCTTGTCTAGTACCTAGAACTGACTTTATATCCATTTACCAAGCATTAATTTCACTAACTAATTTTAATACTCAAAAATAGGTATTGTTCCCAACCTGGGGAAAACTTGACCAAAGAAACGTTCAGTCAAATATATTGAATAGGTGCGTACATAAATGCTTAAACGTTTTATTCTTCATCGAAGCAGACTATCTAATACCTAATATTATTGTCAATCAATCAGTCAAGCAAAAGGGTTCAAGGCGGTCAAACGACGGTCATTTTAACTTTGTAACAACTCCACACTTAAATTACTTTTAACATGATTATAGTATTTTCCAAACTACATTCCGAAGCAAAACAAACAATTTTACATACCTATGAATAGTTTATCGAAATCACTAAAACCACAACAGTGCTTGACATTGTGGCATATTCAATGTTTTCAATGAAAACGATTTTCCCGCGCGCGGGCTGTCACTGTGACAATGCGTTCCGCCATGTTTGTTTACGTTAGCGTTTAAATATTCAAACTGTGGAGTTTGGTGTCGGTAAACATTTTACGCTTGGGCGGCAGTCTTTTACGTTTGTTGACGAAAGTGGTGATTTTTATGTAACCGAAGTTTGAGTAGGTAAGTAGATTAGAGTTATTATAGTTCTTTTTTGTTTTTTTGCGGTGATTTTGTGTTGTATGTCACTACACACTTTTCTCTAAATAAGTGTGTCACTGAATTATGAAGATTTCAAAGTGTTTTATTTCTGTGAATAAGACTACAATTTTCCTTTTTATAAACTTTCATATTGTGATTTTCGATCCTTATCTAAATATTGATTACTTATAAGTTAAACCTTCCTATTAATTAATTCAACGACAGATCATAAACACAATATACCGTAATTACAGTCCTAATTATTCCAAAATGTTATTTTAGGCTAAAAATGGCTTCAAAACTGTTCCTAAAGACCCTGAACATGGAGAACAGACGGTTTAACAAACGAGAGATGTGTGGGTTTCACGGGACCGTCCGTGGGACGTTGCTCTGCAGTCGAGTGATGGGACTATTACCACTCAGTGGGCTTACTTGTCCCACTAGTCATAAATTGAGGTAAGGATATAATTTATAACTTAATATGTTGGTAATACGGTGTTATTTAATACCGTACTTCTCTGATGAGCATATTAAGTTACAAAGGTTGTTTAACATCTTTAGCTTAGCCAACGAACCTTTCGTTCGTCAAAGGTGGCAAAGCAGGATCTAAAGTAAAAGTTAATTTGTTCCAGTACAAAATATTTGTCAACCAGTGTTGACAAAGAACCACATTGTATTACTGTGTTAGATATCGAACGAACCTTTTACCTAACGATGGACAGAAGTCCAAACACCATGTTGAGGATTTTGAAAATGTCACATTTATGCAAATAAGATAAAATCTTGTAAGCTAGTGTTTAGCATGTGTTCGAGCCATGCTTCGGCATGAATGGGCCGGCACGACCGGAGTGATACGTCGACCAAGCAGAAAACCGACGTGAAATAACGTTTGTGTTGTTTCATCGTGTGAGAGGTTGCCGGAGCCGCCAGGAGCTTGCCCTTCCCAATCTCCTCAACCCCCCCAACAATCACCAAAAGGCCGGTAACGCACTTGTAACGCCACTGGTATTCCGGTTGTCCATGGACGACAATCACGACGCCGATTCACCATCAGGTGATCCGTAAGCTCGTTTACCGGCTTATCCCATAAAAAAAAATGTATTAGTGACTGCTTTATTAACACAATATGTAATTATATTCCACAAATTAATCATCAATACATAGTATAAAACAAAGTCGCTTTCGCTGTATGTCCGTATGTATGCTTAGATCTTTAAAACTACGCAACGGATTTTGATGCGGTTTTTTTTAATAGATAGAGTGATTCTTAAGGAAGGTTTGTATGTATATACATATTGCACCCGTGCGAAGCCGGGGCGGATCGCTAGTTCTTTATGATATTCAAGTTTCACTCCAAACTCCCACTCCACCCAATTTACTTTTATCATCCTAACCAAAATATACAGTTTCCCACACACTTAGACATAACGATAACGCAGTTAACCACAGTCGAAGACGTACGACTTTAATAATGCTAGCTACGTGTCGCCATCTAGCGGATTTACTATAAGTTGTCATGTGGGGCTTGAGTACCTGTGAGCCGTCTAATTAAGTCTCATGAGTGACTAGTTCTGACCCCCGGTTCCACTCGAGATTTTTACTTTTTTTCTAACTACGTCTGCTTACTTTGTGTTGTGTCTTTTTATTTACCGTTTGAGTAGGATTAAATATAATTATTACCTAATTTTCTATAACCGAAGAATAATTAATTTTTTTTTTATGGCATGAGCCGGTAAACGAGCTGACGGATCACCTGATGGTAAGCAATCGGCGTCGCCCACGGACACCCGGAACACCAGAGGCGTTACAAGTGCGTTACCGGCCTTTTGGGGATTAGGGGTTTGAGGATCGTTGGGGATTCAGGGATTGGGGAGATTGGGGAAGGGGAGGGTAATTGGGCCTCCGGTAACCTCACTCACACGACGAAACACAACGCAAGCGTTGCTTCACGTCGTTTTTCTGTCCACGACTTCGTGGTATTCGGTCGAGCAGCCGGTTCATGCCAAAGCATGGCTCTCCCACACTTAAAAAGAATTAATCGTTGTCGTAGCCGCTTACACCAAAATTTTCTCCTGAATCATTGTTGCGTTCGCATATAATAGAAATCCCTGCGACTTCATAATATGTCCACATTTGTGAGCTTCAATAATGATAAAGAATAAGATGAAATTCCATCATTTTGAAACAATATTTAAAAATAGACCAAACCTCGTCTAATCCTTAGTTTCATCCTATACCGGCTAGGATTAAATAAATTAAGAATGAATGAGGTTGGTAGGAGGTACCAGCACATGGTAATCTAGTTTGTTTGATGTAATCAGATTTGGATAGCTCTTAGATCCTTTAGTGAGGTACTCAGCAGTAAAATGTAGGTGGAAATCTTTGTGGTTACCTCGGCTTAGGATTACGAAGGGATTTTAAACTGTATGTACAAAATTCAATGTATACTGATACCTGTCTAGTAGTATGTGCTAGGTGTTTGAAAGTGGTTTTGATAGTATTACTTATTTGATTATAGGGGTTTTATTTAGTAAAATTTTGTAGATTTCTATATACTTTTCTTCAGTTTATCTGCCTTTAGGTTTGGTTTCTTAAATAAAATTTTCTTAGCCAAATGACTTAGGTATTTTTATTATATTAAAAAATCATCAAACTTCGTTCTACTTTTCGTGAGAATGTAGCAAAAGAAACAGACGTTCAGAAATTGAAACAGTCTAGAAAATGAACGTCTACTAGACTTCAACACATAGGTCCCTTTTTTTGAGGGGGAAAATCATCTGATGACTTCTTCCGCCTTGGGTGAGGCGAGAGGGAGTGTCAGATTCTTATTGACTAAAAATCACCCAGTTAGGCCTTCCGCGGCTCCGTATCGGGCATCAGCCCTACTGGGCCCCACGTGTCGTGGTCTGATGGCTAATACATAGGTCCCTAGGCTACAGTCTAATACAAAATTATTTGTTACAATATGAATCCATCAAATAACCAATTCCCACCCAGACATACAAGAAATGTCTAAGACATACTTTCAAGCAAAATTGGTGTTTTCGATATAAGTAATGTGTGTCGTTAAGGTTGCTATTACTGTAACAGGTTCACGCTCCGCTCGCCGTACACGATGTTCTACGCGATCAGTCTCTTTGGGCAGGTATTGATGTTCATCATGACTTTCTGTTGGGTTGTGCTGAACGGTATCTCCTTGGCAAATATGAGTGAGTTGGTGACATATTTCTTTTAAAAATAGTAATTATGTTATGAATGATTTGTATTGCGTAATAGGGTTATCAGAATATGAGAATGAGGTAATGTTAGGGTGCGTCCACATCTTTTTTTTTTTTTTTGGCGAATGCTCCGCGTATACGCAGCTTGCGAGCCGCTCACGAGCTGCGTGCATGCATTGCCAATTGTTTGGTGCTCGACTCATACAAGGTTCGTTAGTATAATTTTTTTTTTGCGGCGGCTCCCTAGCTGCGCATTCGTGACGCTTACATCAAATGTTGACGCACCCTTAAAATGTATTAGGAAAATGCTTGTTTTAATCCCTGTGAAGGAGTAAAGAGAGTAGCTTTTTGTTATATACTTATTTACATTATACATAACACTCAGTTCATCACTAGTTATGAATTCCAGAATATAATATATTACATACAACATTATACTATCTCAGACTCCTAAAAATTATCAAAGCCGCGAAAAATTCAGTTAGTACTTTATCCGAAGAGATCGCACTTAAGACCTCTTGCTCCGTAGTTACACTTCCAACCACATGACTAAAGATACAGTCGAAATAATACAACAATTTTTCCATTACAGCGAATTCAATATTCAACACGTCTAGTCTAGTATCAGTTTTGATACTGATGCACATCGGTCGGTGCTGGCCTGCACTAGTAGCGAAGGTGGAGTCTATCGAGTGCAAACTACCTCCGTTCACGAGGAACGTCGGGGTTATGAGCAATATTACTACGATATTTATATTTACTGCTGCTGTAGGTATGTATGTATGTACGTATATACGTTTGCGCAGGCATTTGCTTGTAAAAAGTGGTGTATGCTAAATTTAAAGAAGATTTGTCGACTAGAGAATGCGTTAAGAGGTAACAGAGAAGCAAAGGAGAAGTGAGAACATAGGCTTTCTTTCACGAGAAATTCAGACGAGCAAAGTCACAAATAATAGCTAGCTTTATATAAAAACATCTGTTACTTTATTAAACCAATAATAAAACATGGTCTTAAAAATACGACAAAAATAAAATGATTCATAGATATACTTTAAATCATAACCTACTAAACGCACATATGTAAACGTAAATATAACAATATACAAGATATGATTAAACTGAACCAAATGTAATTAATACTGGAATGTACACAGAGCGTACTCGTTGATTCTCACATGTCTCATCCGTCTAATTAGACCTATGTGGAGGCAACACCTGTGCCTACCACCACACAGTTTGTGGAGAACATTGTAATGAGTTTTCATTACTCTTGTATTAAGATTTTGAGAGAATAATTATTTAGTAGATGAAGATTTGTGAAATGTTTGGCCTATAGGCTGTTAATAGACTGGCTACAATACATAAAAGACATTTAAAAAAGTATTCAGACCAAATTAACCAGTCATATAAGAATGTAAGGAATACAGGGGCTGCTGACAATCGTAATAGTAGCTGGGGCTCCGGCTTGACCCAGGAGTTGGAACGAAGTAGTTTTAGCCAGATAAAGTCTCTCTCGCCTCAACCTGAGTGAGACGAGACATTTGATGACCTCAAAAAGAAGAGTGTGAGGAATGATTATATTATATTTTTCCTTTCCAATCTGTTGCGTTGAGCCTTTTTCAGTACCACTAAATCATAATTTTCCATCTACCTAAACAGGTCACAAAAATATAGTAATAGCCCTGAGCATATTTCAAGGCTACGCGTATTACTACGCCGTAGCAAACTGCTACGGTGCTACGAAATTGCGTAGCATTTTCATTTCGCTTTTGTAGGCTTATATAAAGCTGTTTGAATGCTTTATTTCGTTGGTGTTACTATATGACTTATCTTTATAGCGTTAAGGTACATTTTTATAAAATATTTTGTTGTAGTGGAACATCTTTTGTCAGTATACTATGGATTAAAAGTGGCGTGTGCCTGCGACATTAATAATGTTGGTGAGACTTATTTTCGGTTCAGCATGCCATGGATTTTTGATTATACACCTTACGCTGCGTGGAAAGGAGCTCTTATTGAGGTAAAACGATTTAGTTTAAATAAGATGAAGATGATGAATAACAGTGTGAATAGATTTAGATTATAAGATTATAGATTTGTCTAAAATAATCTTATATCTTATACTATTATATAAAGCGGAGGAGTTTGTTTTTTTGTTTTTGTTTGTTTGTTTGAACGCGCTAATTTCCGTAACTACAAGTCTGATTTGAATAATTCTTTTTGTGTTGGATAGTGCATTTATCGAGGATGGCTATAGGCTATAAAACATCACGCTACGAACAATAGGAGCTGAGCAGAGCGTGTGAAACCGCGCGGCAGTAGCTAGTGCTTTAGATATAGAATAAAGAAGTTTTCAATATTTGTAAATACAACTCAAACTGAAATACAACAGCTCACATCGAACCAATTTTTAAATTACGACTGTAGAGGTAATACGGGATTCATAATAAAAATATCAAATTTTTACGGAAGGCATACGAGGTTTATTGTTCAACGGTGTCGTGTCATTTTTATATCGGTATTCGAGTGAGGTCAGAAAAATAGGACGCGGTCCGGTTGCAATGGAGCCGCGATATATGACCGTGTTTGAGCCACTGCTACCGGATAAAAATGAAGTTTATTAACTCGTCAAGCACCGTCATTACAGACACAATTATAGAACAATAGGTTGCGGTCACCGGTGACCGCTTGGTGTTTGACAGTTTAATACATGTACTCAAGGTTTATTTATTTTTTATTTAAACACCGGTTATTGATATAGTACAAGATTATTGACTGCATTGTGAATTACTTATTGTAGTGCAGTCATATCTCGTTGGCCGAGTGGTCGCAAGGGCGACTACCGGGCAAGGGGTCTCGGGTTCGATTCCCGGGTCGGGCAAAGTATTACTGGGTTTTAAAAAAATCTCAGTGGTCGCACGGAGTCTGAAAAAGTGCACGGTAAATGGCAATAGGCTCAACCCCTATTACATGGGACTCATAACATTAATAGTGAAAAGTGGATGTTACTTCTGTGTGCACCTCTTCCTACCCCTTCGGGGATAAATGGCGTAATGTTATGTTGCAGTCATAAAATGATCCATAAGGGTAATAAATAAGTAGATTTTTTTAAACAACGTCCCTTCTAGTATTTTTCCCTGTGTCGTGGTTGCGTTTACAAACATACAAGTTAACATACACATGACTCCCAGACTCTGAACAAAAATTTGTGGATCACACAAAGAATTCGGGAATCGAAACTGCGACATGTTACGCGGCAGCCGATTGCCCAGCTACCGCATCAACCGTGCTGTCAATTCATGTTGTTATTAAGGGATTATACATTTGACTGAGATCGAGAAGCAGCGTTTTTGATAAACGTAAAAAATTTAAACTACGATTACCAACTCAAGCGAGGCAAGCGTTGCGATTTTGATAAACCATTTTACGTAGAGGAAGTTCAGAATCGAGCAAAAGATAGTTTTGAATAATCACCAAATCAACAGCCTATAAGTAACCACTTGCTGACCAAAGGCCACTTCGCACACGGAGAACGTTTGAGCATTAATCACCATGCTTACTCAATGCGGGTTGGTGGTTTCAAACTTATAATTACAAATTATAAGCCCAGCTTTCCTAACCATATTTTCCTTCACCAATCCATCAGTGGTGTCTAAATAATCTTGAAAGTACATGTAACTCGTAAATAGTTACATTGGTATTGAATAATAAAACTACCTATTCATGAAAAATGTCGAGGGGTACCTAACGGGTTACCGGGGCTCCGGCTCGAAGCGCAGTAGTAGGAACGGGGTGGTTTTTAGTCAGTAAGAGTCTGACACTCCCTCCCGCTCACCCAGGTGGGACAAGCCATTCGATCAATTTTCCCCCTTTAAAGAAATCATGAAAAATACTGAATTTTTTCGATGCCATGCAACTAATATTCAGTTCACTTGCAGATTTTCAACATACAGTCGACATTCGTGTGGAGTTACAATGACCTGCTGATTATGATCATAAGCATATACTTGACGGAACATTTATTGGTACATAACGAGCTCCTGAAGAAAGCTGTGGAGCAGGTAAAGTATACATTAGCAATGCTAATATTATAAGAAACTTTTTAGTGACATTTTCGAGTTGTTAAGTGAGAAGTGCGTCTTTGGTTTTCTACCTAAATTGGACGGGGTATTATTTAATTTTGTACTTGGAACTTTTTTGATTTTGTGTCAAGAATGATTTTTTTTATGGGATCATCCGGTAAAAAGCAATCGGCGGCGCCCATGGATACCTGAAATATCGAGGCGATACAAGTGCTACCGGCTTTTTGGGAATTGGGAATTTGAGGACTGTGGAGGGTTCGGGAATAGGGGAAACATGAGACAAATTGTAATTGGGCCTCCGGTAACCTTACTCACACGTCGAAACACAACGCAAGCGTTGTTTCACGTCGGTTTTCTGCTCGGCCGTGGTATCACTCCAGTCGAGCCGGCCCATTCGTGCCGAAGCATGGCTCTCCCACACTTGATGAATGGAGTGAAATGAAGAAAATTTGTAATTATTTAAGAAAATATTACTTTATTTAAACTGTCAAACACCAAGCGGTCACCGGTGACCGCAACCTATTGTTCTATAATTGTGTCTACAAAACCGGTACTCGACGAGTTAATACAATTTCGTTTATCACAAAACTAATAATCAAGACACAACTTTGAAGATGGCGTGTTGCCAACGAACACGCCGCGCCGGCTGCGCTTCCTACGTCTTGCAATGAGCAAAATATTTGTTTTTTTATGTAATGCGACTACAATAACATTTTGTGAATGAAAAAGTATAAATAGCAGAGAGTATATTGCCTTTTTTAAAACATATAGGTCATATACAACCACGAATTAAAATGAGATCTTTGTGTGTGTGTCTATATGTGTTTGTGTGTGGAAGAGAGAGAAAGAGAGTGAGATATGCACAGACCCAGTCCAAACTATATGCTACTAACAGCTTTTTGTAATAAAATACGAAAAAAAAATCTGTCACTAAAGTGATGAAAATCACTATTATTATAAGCATCGCATTCATTTCAACGATATCATCAGCCAGCGATTTGAGGAAACAATTAAAATTAGCAATAACAGTGAAATTAATAAAATGAAGTAACTCTCGCTATCTACGTCTTAGGGACTGAAATAATTTCAGCGAAAATGAACAACTGAAACGAATTATCCGAGTCAACGACCCAAAGTAATTGTTATTATTTAAATGCGTAGTTATTTCCATTTTAAACTTTAGTGACGTCACTGATTTTGTAACAGTTTTGCTGGTGACGACTACTAAGGTCTATGACCTAGGTTTAAAAAGCATTTCTAGAACGTTTTATTTGCTCATCATATTGTTACGTTTCTAATTATCGGTACCAATTTATAAAAATCAGGTGCGAGCGATCTTGAAGCGAATGCAATGACGCTACGTCCTGCGTGGACGATCTAGAAGCGAATGCAATGACGCTACGTCCTGCGTGGACGATCTAGAAGCGAATGCAATGACGTTACGTCCTGCGTGGGCTATCTAGAAACGAATGCAAAGCTGTGCGGTGCGGTGCAAAAACAAAGAAACTGTCATATTTGGTTACGGTGCTGTCATGTTAGAAACTGTTTGGTTATAATAACGGAATGCGAAGCAAAACGATTTGCATTCCCTTAGGATATAACTGCCATGTCGCATCGCATGGCATTGAATTTGCGTGTCACCGCCTCATAATCGCGTTCGCTTCTAGATCGCCCACTTAGGACGTAGCGTTATGACCAGTGATCGGAAAAAGGTGAGCTAATTTACCGAAATTAACAAAAACCTAAAATCGTGACAAAAGTTGCGGTTTCTTTATAGCTTTTGTTATTAATAACGTAATTTTGGTGTTGAATAATTTTATTTTATGCTCTTTCTTACATCTTAAAATATTTATTGTTGAAAACAATAAAAGTTTTAATTTTGTTTGGTTTTGTGTTAAATTTAAGAAATAAAATCACGAAACGAAATCAATTGTATTCTGTTTTACTAACAATTATATTAAATGTAATATATAAATATCCCGAAACTGGAACCGGAACTTTCCCGAAAAAAATGTTGTAGTAAGGAAGTATCTACTTTTTGTTTTTGTTCCTTGAAGTTTAGGTAAATTAGCTCACCTTTTTCCGATCACTGGTTATGACGCATTGCAACCAAATATATATACCCGCAAATATATATACCCGCGAAAATATTAAACCAACTGATCGCGTTCGCGACACTTCATTAGGTTTCGACAGTTTGCTATTTTCGCGCGACGCACCGCTCCGCGTTTGCTTCTAGATTGCTCACGCAGGACATAGCTTAATATAATAGAATTTAATAACTGATTAATCTGTGCAGAATCTAAGAAAGTTATATATGTCCCTAATAAGATGCATAGGGCTGCATTGTTGCTTCACTTTTTGGATTGTTACCATGTCAGGTCTTAGCTTAAGATTGGTGCGTTGATTAAGAATATAATAGCCAGTATTCAATAAAACACCCTATTAACATTGATATAGAGTTTAACTTATTGTACTTTATATTTTTTCTTCTAGGAACATTTTCCCTGCCAAGTATTTCGCTCTCAATACTTGAAGATCGTTCATCTGGTGAGGTTAATTAATGGTCAGTTCGGTATTTATATACTGACCTCGTTTGGGAGCAATCTGTATTGGATCTGTACGCAACTGTTCTATAGTCTCAGGTGAGTCGTGGTAATAAAATGATTAAGAAAATAATTAAAAATCTTCTCCTTTTTACAAGTCGGTTAGCTACGAGTAATTGTTGTTAGAGAATGAAACACTCTGATTGCCTCGCTGGCCGAAGGGTTACAAGTGCGACTGCGGGGCAAGGGGTCTCGAGTTCGATTCCCGGGTCAAGCAAAGTTTATCAGACAAAGTATAACTGTTTTTTTTTCATTCTCAGTAGTAGCTCGGAGTCTAGAAATATGCCCGGTATTTGGCAATAGGCTCATCCCCTATTACATGGGACTCATAACATAAATAGTGAAAAGTTGGTGTCACATTTTATAGTGGCAGTAAGTGCTGTAATTTACACCTTGGCCTATCCTTTCGGGGATAAAAGGCGTGATGTTTAGTGTGTAATGAAACCTTTCTCAAATGTGTTTTGTAATTACGATGGAACATTTTTGTAAAATGAGCTTTATCATGTAACGACAAGTTACTAATCTATCACAATGCATCAGAAAAGTATTTGCTCATTAGTCCAATGGTTTAAAACGCAACTCGAAATAAACAATGTATTTTTGTGTTTTTTAAATATTCATGTGCGCTTCAGCGTTCAGCTTCAGCGTTCAGAGTCAAGTCAAAAGTTATTTATTTAAATTAGACCACGAAAGCACACACACACAGGCACAAAAAAGAATGTTAGTCTGTCGGTCAGTCGTCTAGTGAAGCTCTTTGCTCGTTCCAAAGTGTAGATTCCTATGGAGAAGAACGAGCAAACTCCATAGGTTACTCTATGTATGTTCTACGTTGCGTGTTCTATGTCTATAGCAAATTCATTGTCACCTCGCTAACTAAAATTGTAGAATACATTAAAAACGTTCACTTTACTTAGCGTTTAGTAACTCAGTAGACGTATGTGTTGACGCCACAATTAATTAACATAGATTCCCTTTCACAGAATCCACAACCTGTTCTCGCACGGTTCGTGGTTAACATAGCTGGATTTTCTCACCGTTTTACAATCTTTGAAGGTTGTGGCTAAAAGGGTTGACCCATGTTAAGTCTTTAGTTCGCTAGGGTTGTGCTAATGTGAATATTGTGTTTGCAGTCGAACACAGACGGGGCATTTTATCGCATGCTCGTTCAAAGAGCCGGAAGGCGCTAAGTAAGTGTAGAGTAATCATTCTTGTTGTATCGGTTGTGTGCTTTGTGTCGAAACTTGGTGACTATTGTATTGGTGTTGGCTTACGTAATTATTTCTTTAGATAATTTATTTATTTATTGCACACATACACACATATAATTAATGAAAATGTCCTATGGTACATTATTTTAAAACATTAGACACGTAGGTATTTTTTATTTTCTCACATAATGAAATACTTTCGACGATATATTAATTTGAAATATCGTGTGACGTCACAGCGTGCCACATTTTGTAGTACGTTATGACGTAACGACCTCCCACTCCTAAACTTAGCGCCATTTTATCTAAATATTGCAACTTAATATGAAAAAATAAAAAAATACGTGTCTAATATTTTTAATTATTAACTGACGGACTAATTAGATTTTTAATTTTGATACCCTGGAAACTACCACTAACCCAATTATCATTACAGACGAAGTGATAGTACAAATTGTTTTAAGTGGTTGCTATTTTCAGTCTAAAAGATATTGAATTAAAATTTAATTTTGTAATTTCAGTGCAGTTCACATGTTTGAGAATCATCCGATATGTTCCTGGATGTTGGATGACAGACGGTATGTCACAATAGCAATTATTGAAAACTTCTTTGCCGGTTAAAATGCATACATCTATCTATAATAATAATTTCGTCTAGGGGTACGGTAGACTCGATCGAAACATTACCTGAATAACATAACGTAAAGAATATCGATTTCGAGTCGACAACATATATCCGCAAAATTCAGATTACGGAGATTATTTCGTTTTATTAAATCATTTTAACTCGTCGAGTACCGTCATTATAGACACAATTATAGAACAATAGGTTGCGGTCACCGGTGACCGCTTGGTGTTTGACAGTTTAATGACACTGACAGACAAACCGCAGTCGCCATCTTGAGTAGACAATAAACTCTCAAATACGACTCACCAATCAACGCGTTGTCGCGTTAAAATAATATAAATGAACAAGAAATATGAATAATTTCACGCTAACGAAGTCGCAAGTAACAGCTAGTATACATATATTATAAATTATTTTAGTCAAAGTTAAGACAATGATATTTCTGTTACAGAGCATTGAACGGTCTAGAACATTCGATATACTTCACCTACTCCTTTTCATTTCTGTTGGTTCGAACTCTGATGGTGCTGCTGTTGGCTGCGAGGATCCATTCTAACTCCATAGCACCACTGTATGTCCTGTATGGGATTCCCAGCTCTAGGTTTCATGTTGAGGTCAGTAAGTACTACTAATATTAAAAAAAATATAAAAGTTAGTCAACATGTGAGGATGTATGAGCGTTTGTTAGTATTTAACGTAAAAACTATAAAATAGATTTGAATAAAACCTATAGAGGTAGGCTATAGCCGGGAATAGCACATAAAGTACATTTTAAATTCTCAGTAGCACGGAGCCTGGAATTGTGCCCGGTATATGGGAATAGGCTCCCCCTATTATATGGGACTCATAACATAAATAGTGAGAAGTGGGTGTTACATTGTACAGTGGCATTAAGTGCCGTAATGTGCACCTCTGCCTACCTCATTGGAGACAAAAAGGCGTGATTTTATATAGTACATTTTATTCCGAAAACGCGGGTGTAACCGCTGGTTTTAATATAGTAGGTATTAAACTAATAAAACAATATAAATAATACGATACTTAAAACCAAACAAAATAATTTTTGATTTAATTTATATTTCGTTATTTGAGCATAGCATTAGGGAGGCCTTTGCCCTGCAGTGGGACGATCATGGCTGTAAATCACTACATAGTATAAAACAAAGTCTCTATCCGCCGTCTGTCTGTCCCTATGTATGCTTAGATCTTTAAAGCTACGCAACGGATATTTATGCGGTTTTTTAAAATAAATAAAGTAATTCTTAAGAAAGGTTTATATGTATAATACATGGATATTGCACCCGTGCGAAGCCGGGCGGGCTCATTAGTAAAAAATAAATAAAAATATTAGAGCATAAGATTCGTAATAGTTATATTATCATAACTAACTGGCGCGCTAAACTTCGTACTGCCTAAAAATGTATTCTCAACTTTGAAACCTCCCCTGGAATTCGACGATCAAAATTTGCCAAATTGATTCAGCTGTTCTCGAGTTATAGCGAGACTAACGAACAGAAATTCATTTTATTTATACATACAGATATATAGATAGATTTCTAAGGTAATTATGATTACAGGTGGAGCGATTTATAGCACAAATAAATAATCTGAAAGTGGCTATGAGTGGACTGGACTTCTTCTATGTGACGAGGACTATGATTCTAACTGTGAGTTATTTTTATAATAGGTACCTACTATTGATAGCAACAAAACGCCTGATTATAGGCGGACATCGCACATTAAGTATATTTGTCGCACATGATCAATTACAATTGCGATACAGACCATGTAAGAAATAATCTTAAGCCGAGTTAGATAACGGCGATCAGGAATTTAATTAAAAAAAGATTTATTTATTACAAGGTGTTTACTTAACGAATTATCCTACAAGACTAACATATACTTAATTAAATTATATAACATAATGCTAAATATGCACTTTTACTTCTATTCGTCATATGTATGCAATTTGATCGGCTTCATCAGCAATCGGTTTAGTGGTGGTACGGGCTGATCGATTGCTTATTGCCGCCATCTTTTTTTAGAGAGCCTCCTCTTAAGAACGAGTTGTATAATCATTTTTATTTTACCTATAATTTACTTTATAAAAATTGATTAGATGTATTGTTATAAAAAAAAATGATGACAAGGGCACGGATCAAGAGTCAGTGGAGAATTAATATGTAGCATTATAAAAAAACATATTTTTATTTAGTTAAACTGTTCATGATAATAATAATTGTATTTTTTAGCTTCTTGGCACAATCGTGACGTATGAGTTGGTATTGCTGCAGTTCAACAGGTAAAATAAAAGAATCTGGTATAGAGGATTAACCTTAGTTTAAAATTAGTCCAAAAAGGTTTGATGGAGGATTCGAATGGAGTTCTTAGAAACGAGAGATTGGTTTCCGAAGTTATTGACACATAATTTTAAATGAAAGCTGACAGAAGAAGGATAGCAAGAAAGAAGAATTAAACATGTTGTAAATATGATCATGTTTGTAATTATTGTGTACCTAATTAGCCTAGCACTTAAAATGTCATTTATGCTTACCACTTATGTATGTATTTCATCTGCTGTCTCTGGTCTTGCTACTAAAACAGTTACAAAATAAAATCACATGAAAAGTCTATACTCTTTGTTTTACCTTTAGACGTCGCAGTAGGCCCAGAAGGAGATGGCGGGATGAACTGGACGCCTATGAAAAGGATTGGACAAAGAAAGATATAAAAAGAGACAAGTGGAAGGGTAGTGAGGCCTTTGCTCTGCATTGGGACAACTATGGCTAAAAATCATACGGAGTTGCCGGGACTCCGGTTCGAAGTGGAGGAGTATTAACGGGGTGATTTTTAGACAATAAGACTCTGACACTCCCTTATATTAATATTTTGGATATTTGGATATTTTTCCTCTCACAGAAAAGGCTAAAAATAAAAATATGATAAATAAAATAGACGAAAAAACAACAAGAAATATGAGAAGTAATGAAAAATGCATATCTACTACTACTCTACTACAAAACTTGAAAGACACGAAAAAAGAAAATTTAAAATAATAATTATAAAAAAACAAAACACACACGATATTCCCATTTCACCTGAAAACCTTAACCCCTCGTCCGCTGTACATCATTAAAGTAACGAGTGTTGCAGTTTTTCACTCACCGGGTACTTTTGACCCGGCAATGCACTCACTGATATTATTTACTACAGCACAACTAACGAACCGAGTACCTGTTCTTTTGTACTTTAATGAGCCAACAAATTCGAGAGAAAAGAAGGAAAATAGTTTTTAGACTTTAATATTAAAAATATTGACTGCCCTGTTGGACGAGTGCGCCTACTGAGCAAGGGATCTCGAGTTCCTACTCCTGCCCTTCGAGCCGGAGTCCCGGTAACCCGTTATGTCCTCCGCGCCTCTGTATCGGCATCAGCCCTATTAGCCCCATCAGTGGTGGTCTGATGGCTCCTTGAGGCGCGCGTGGAACGCGACGCGCCATACGCTCGCGTCTGGTCGGGCGGCGAATCACCTGTGCTCGCCGTCCGCAGGCCCGTCCTTATGGTGGCAGGAGTTCGGAATCGCTGGTGTGTGGAAATAGGCTCACTTATTACGTATGCATAGTAACATAACTGATAAAAAAACTGTATTACATCTGCGCATGGTGCATTTCATTCTACGTCTTCGGAGATCAAAGGCGAGATGGCTTATACTAAAAAATGCACCATTATATTTCTATCTACAAATAGGAAAACAACATTACCAGGAAAAATAACACCACGCTATCCAATCCCCAAAGGGGTAGGCAGAAGCATAAATATTATAGTACATACTCTTACCCTGGAAAATATACGTGGAAAAATAAATAAAAATTAATAACAGCATTATGGAGAGTTTGACGATGTCTTAAAATTGAGCGTCTTTTATGTATTACGAGATGTTTCATAAAGTAGATATAAATAATAATGGTCCTTTATGCTTCTACATGTAGCTATTGCCTTTATGTGCGGATTTTGTTTATACTTCAAAATATCGAGTTCATATTACTTCTGCAATAGACCCATATCTTATACTTGTACATACATACTTACTTATTTATACTTCTTATATAAAGGTGATCGCCTGAACTATTAGTCCGATTTGAAAAATTGCTTTTGTGTTGGATAGTCCATTTATAGAGGAATCCTATAGTCTATAAAACATCACGCTATGATCTATAGGAGCCAGCAGATGGGGTGAAACAGTGCAAAAGTTGTTAATCAATAATAGGGGTATTATGGAACATAATTACATATTATTGGTTGAAAGTCCGCGTGAAGTAACGATATGTTGAGTTAGAAAACAACTTTAATAATTTAACTAAAATCGCGGGTAACTCAAGTGAATATACTGAGAATAGCTCTATTAGTTTCGAACCACAGAGGGGTTCTTTCTTACGAGCCTTTCCTCCCTTAACCCATTTCCTTATGAGTAGAGCTTTTCTCAGTATATTCACTTGAGAAACCCGCGATTTTTAGTTACTTTAGTATGTCTCACGATAGTAAAAACAACTTTAATAACAATTGCTTTAACTAGTGTTTAAAAGTTAATCTTATTCTAACTCTAACAAGACAAGCAACATAAAAAGACCCATTGAAAAATTGGTATATATCGTATATATGCCAACATCTTGATATGCCGAAAAGTCTTCAGAAAGAGCATAATTCCATATTCGCTTTCCATGATCTTGAAACTCAATCTAAAATTGTATTTACGTATCTAATTTATTTTCACATTCCGACAGCTATTATATTATCAACTTTCCGAGAATGTGGCACTTTGAATTGAAAAAGAATTGGACTGCATACGTGTTCTTAGGGCCCCGTAAAGGCCCACTTAAACCTCTTGTGTCTTAAACTGTCAAACACCAAGCGGTCACCGGTGACCGCAACCTATTGTTTTATAATTGTGTCTATAATGACGGTACTCGACGAGTTAAAATTATCAGTAGATTAAACATAATATATGTATGTATATCGTGATCTTTTTTTTATGAAACTGACGGATCAAGCAATCGGCGTCGCCCATGGACACCTGGAACACCAGAGGCGTTACAAGTGCGTTACTTTTGGTGATTATGAATTTGAGGATTGTTGGGATTAAGGGATTGGGGAGCTTGGGAGGGGGAGGGGGTTATCGGAACTCCGGTAATCTCACTCACATGTCGAAACACGATGCAAGCGTTGTTTCCCGTCAGTTTTCTGTGAGGCTGTGGTATCACTCCGTCTTTGTAAAAATTCAAACAAATATTTAAGTTCACAATTAGTTACTGGTAAAATAGGTCATGCAAATCATTACCTAATCACTGAATCCACTAAACAGATTTTGGGAATTTAGAATACTTTTTTTGAAACCTACATTATTTGTTTGTTAGTCTGGCTGAACAACATGTGTATTTTACTACCAATAGGAACTGTAAGCTAACCCAACAGGGCCGATGACGATTCAGAGTCGCGGAGAACCTGACGGGTAACCGGGGCTCCGGCTCGACGTGCAAGAGAAGGAATGGGGTGGTTTTTAGTCAGTAAGAGCCTGACACTCCCTCCCACCTCACCCAGGCGGGAGTAGTCATTCGATGATTTTTCCCGCTTAAAAAAAAGCTACTACCAAAAAACGAAATTTAATTCTTAAACCTTCCTTTGCGTGCATTCGGTATGACACATAATAATAGGTATATACATAGTAGTCGACCTCAATCTTATACAACACTCAAGAAACAAGAAAAACATACAGAATACCGAAACAGAAACCCGACTCAAATCTAACAAAATTGTCACAAGCCGTCTTGTTAACAATTTTCATAATAAAAATGTAAATAAAGGAATGATGTTCAGAATGTTTCGTTCTAAATCGGCTTATCGTACAAGACAGATATTTTTCGGCGTAAATTAAAAATTTCTTTTTTCCCCAACATTCCCCGCGTCTCGTTATTTTGTATGACAAGTGTCGGGATTAAGTATTGTGGCATAAGAATATTATTCGAGTTTATACGTCCCTTCTAAGTAGCTATTTCGTAAAATGTTATGCGTTTATTAAGCTTACATTTTTGTTGGAATGTTACTTTTATTCTCGTGTTATGAAGTAATTGGGGAAATATTGAGTTGATGAAGATGTATTTCATTTTATACACTTTTATATAAGACGCATGTTTTTTATATTCATAACATAACATAATTGATTTATAAATAGAATACTACACGTATAAAACAAATGCATGTACAATCTGGATTTAGTGGAGACTAAAATAGTATATTATTTTGGTTTTAGTTAGAAAAAAATTATGTTATTTTTGCCGAAACCCCTCTCTCCAACGTAAGCTTAGATGAAATTTGAGTATACCCCCTCCCCCCCTTAAACATCTCACGTAATTTATGGACGTCCCCATAGGTATCTAGGTAATGTTACTTAGCTTATGTTTTTAACCGACTTCAAATTAAGTACGTATGTTTGTTTGTGGGCGATAATCTCGTGATTGGCTGAACCGATTTTGAGGCAGTTTTCAGAAAAGTGTTTGTTATACTTAGAAGAAGGTTTTAGTATATTAACCTCTTATCTGCCAGCAAATGAGACACAATAGAAAACAGGTGTCTCACGGTTATTTACGCTCCCGGCATACCACGGGTTAACGAACAGACTTTTTCTATGGAATAAGCCGGTATACGATCAGACGGATCTCGGTAAGCAATCGGCGTCGCCCATGGACACTTGGAACACTAGAGGCGTTACAAGTGCGTTACCGGCCTTTTAGGCATTAGGAGTTTGAGGATCGTTGGGGATTTAGGAATTGGGGAGATTGGGGAAGGGGAGGGTAATTGAGCCTCCGGTAACCTCACTCACACGACGAAATACAACGCAAGCGTTGCTTCACGTCGGGTTTCTGTGAGGCTGTGGTAGGTATCACTCCGGTCGAGTTGGCCCATTCGTGCCGAAGCAAGGGACTTCAAAAAAAGAGGGCGTTGAAATCCGTGTTTTTAAATGTACCTCTAGTATATAAAATATATTTTTTACGTAAAAATTAACATTCTGTCGTCATTTAGTGTAGCTTACATTTTCAACTTGAGTCCGTAATATTATGTGCTTAAGCTAGTAAAAAATCTAAGCTTAGCTATTATGCGCCTCGACGATGCAAGGTAGCGAGTTTTAAAATCATTTCAGATTCTCATCTAGCGATACTTTCTTAACATGTAGGTGGGTGCGATATTGAAACGTTTTGATTAACATAGTAACTTTAAATTGAGTTGCAAAAATAACGTAACCACTTTTTATAAT